TCTGTGGGATGAACAATGGGGGTAGAGATGCCCCTTCAGGTCTGCAGCACAAGTCCTAAAGCAGAGTCAAGGAGGCACCCAAGAATCTGGGCAGCCTGCTTTTGCCAGCCAGAAAAACCTTAGCAACCTTTTGCAAAAAGTTCAAAAAAATTCAAGACATCTCTGTCTTCTGTCCACACTAAAAACCATTCCTTTCAAATGCCACTCATCCAAGTGGGCATGACACAGAATTGATGGGCAGCTGGCTATATTTTTTAAAATATAACTATAGAATCTGCAATCATAATATTTCAACCCAATTAACCCAAACCAGTGAGGCCCGGGTGCTGAGGTGGATTGATGGGAGCATTTCAACTCTCCCATCTCCTGAGCCAGCTGCCAGCCTCGCGCTGGGATCACACAGCAAGGCCCCAGGAAACGCCTTCTCTCTCACTGCAGGCTCCTGAGGGAGATGAGCCTGACGGGCGCACGGTGGCCCACGCTCGCCCCGATGTGCCTGACAGGCCCAAACACCACTCTGGCTCCCATATTTGTCAGATATTTTCCAAAATCCATTTAGTTACCCGGACCAAATGCCAATTAGCCAGATTCTAACCAAACCCCACTCCAGTCATGCAGACAACACCCAACTGTATGAAGGAAGAGAAAAAGACATGGTGGGGCCAATTAGTGTCACCCCCCAAATCCCTACGCTGTCCCCTCAAAGAAGGCAACTAGCAGAGCCTCTACTCTTCAGAGTAAAAACTGCTCCTTTCAAACCCCACGCAGCCCAGTGGGCGTGACACAAAATTCCTCTGACACCCACCCAATCTTCAGCTTGCCATGGCTGGGGAGGGGGGCTGGGGTGGGGGGCAGGAGGGGGGAATAGTGGATAACTGTCACTAAGGTAGATGAGGAAGCTCAATAACTATTTTTGAAGTTGGCTAGGATGTGATCGTCAGTGAAAGGAAACTGACATGTGAAGCTTTTTCATGTGCAAAACATCAGGTTTTTATGATGTTTATTATTTTATGATGATTATTATTCAGATACATTTTTCAACCAGCTCCTATTACATCAAGTAGAAGCCTTTTAAGCCAGGGTCAACATATGAACTGCCCCCCCTCTTCTAACTGCCATCTCACTTCCTGCAGCTCCTCTGATTTCCTTGGAGGTCTTCCCATCCATGCCCTGACCAAATTCAAATTTTCCAAAATATGACATGGACCACAGTGCAAAACAATAAATCACAGCAGCATGGGGACAGGGCACTGCTGACTTACTGCATTTAAACAGGACCGCTGCCAAATACAGCTATAACCTTCCACAGATCATTTAAGAAACAGAGTATCCCTAAATACTCAAAAGATGTTTCTGCATCCTAAACTGGCTTCTGTACAGAGGGAGAGGGCAACTGGGAGCACAGTGGTCAACTGCTTACTGGCTATACTGCTCTGCCTTAACAGCCACTTGTTCTGCAAGCATTAGCAGGCAATTATCGTGGCATGAAAAGTCTCGCCTGCCACTGTCCACAGATCAGAGGCATTGTTTGAAGCATGGCGACAATCATGTTGCTTTTTCCAAAATCCACTCAGCCACCCAGACCAAATGCCAGTTAGCCGGATTCTAACCAAACACCACTCCAGTGCTGGCCACCAGTGTGCTGGCCACCCTGGCTAGCAGAATGATTGCCACTTCTTTTCTTTTGTACTTGGTCTGCATCTGTGCCGTTAACAAAATTGCACCACACGTAATTCAAGCAAATTCTATGATTCTGTGAAATTGAGTTGTTGTGAAGTAGAGGCAAGTGATGGCTAAGGCTTCACCCGTTACCTTTCTGGCGACAGATGGCAGCTTAAGGTACAAAATCAGTAAGAATGATAGCATTCCTTTGATGTGGTGCGGATTGAGAGCTTGCAGCTGCCATTCCCCCTCTCCCTCCACCCCCAAGATATCTGGCAACATAGAAGAGTTATTCATGAAAACATTAGGATAATAACACTTAAGAGCCCTCATCTTGCAAGTGCTTAAACACGAGTGAATTAAAAAAGAAAAATCCTTCTGAAAAGCCGTAATAGAAAGTTCATAATAGTCTTGACAATATAATTTGAGGCCAAGTAGAACAACATGGGGGGGGGGATGCATGCTCACAGCTAATTTAAAGCAGCAAATTTCATAATTTCATGGCATTCTCTCTGACTTGCAATTCTGTTTAAAGTGCAATTCATATGGTTAGCTAAGTAAGACTTGGGACGGAATATATGGGTAGCATACAGCTACATGTCTTTGCATCCACTGTTATACAATGTATGAATGGAAGTACCGGTATATTTAATTTATAAGGAGCTGAGCAGTTAAGGAAAGAATCCAGGCAAGCAGGCAGGGCAAGTAGCTGGGACAGAAAGCAAGGTGATTTCTGTCCCTCAGGGAGGGCCCCACTGGGGCTCCTTTGGGCTCCTAAAGCAGTAAGAGCCACAAACCAAAAGGGTGCTGTCTATCTGGCTGTCATTGGCATGGGATTGGCTTTCTGTGGTCACGTGGTTTCCAGGACCAGGAGTATTATGAGAAGAGGTGCTGGTGGCCCAGCTAAGGTCTGTGGTTTCATCCTGCAAGCAGCAGCCAGAGGGGGCAAGGGACTTCCAGGGATCCCAGTTCAGACCCACTGCAACTGGCTCTAGAGATGTTGCAAGGAATCAAACAGTCATGCACACAAATGCTCAGTGCTTCATGAATAGGGTCGGGGTCAGCTTGTCTCAAACCTCGTGTGCCCACTTCTGCTTCCACCTCCACCACCCTTCCCCTGCCCACCCGAGGGCTCATAAGCCTCATCTGGGGCAGGAGAAGAGGACACGGCGGCAGCAGAGGCAAATGTTTGGCGTGTCCGTTCTTGCATAGGGAAGGAACTCGGTCTGCCCATCACAGTATATCTAGCAGTAGAGCAACACTGTTGAGTTGTGCTTTCCTCAACTATTGACAGAAAATGTTTTCTAAATTGTTTGGACTGCCGAAAACAAAAGTGATGCTATGAAAAGCCCCATTTTGTTCAGTGTAGTTCCACCACTGCTTTAAAGACCAGTGTTCCTGATTCCATAAAATTATTAGACATCAGTTTGTTGCTACCACCATTGTTCCTGCCAGTTAAACAGCCTGATGTAGGTGATAGTAAAATGCATCATCACTCCTAGATGTCTCTGCGCCCTCTGACTTTAATTATGTTGCATGTTGCTTATTACAATGATCACACTAGACCTGACAACTGCTTAAGGGTCACATGACGCAACATCTCATGCATCATTCATAAATAGTTACACCAGGACTAGCTCACCTGAGGATGAATGACGACACCAAAAGTCACAGCCTGTTCTGCTGGCCTTACATGGACGCAGCTTGACCGGAATCAGGGGATTTCCAACTTTGTTACAGGTGGCGTCTCCATGAACTGTGACAGAAACTGTCTCATAAAGAATAAGCCTGGCAAGAGCTGGTGGTGGCTGCCAGTTAGCTTCAAGAGAAGAGAAGAGAAGAGCAGACCACCTGAACAGAGTTGGCGGGTCACTGAAGATTGTTGAAGAGTCAAGAACGTCTGTGCTTGGCCCTGTAATTCACTTATTTTCTTTCCCGGTGGAGATTGAAGCCATTTTGACCATGGTCAAATAGGCTAACAAGGCCTTGGTGTAGGATCCATGGTTTTCATCACACTGTGCTGTTTTTATGATAATGGGGCCCAGCATGGAAGAAAAAACTGTGATTTCCTTGTTTCTTCCTATTGACTCCAGATGCACAACCACTGCATTTGAAGGACTACTGTGATTAAAATATAAGTTCTGAATGCACTTAGATTTCTAGCACACAAAAAAGTATGCTAAGTGGTCCCTCAACAACTTCCAAGTGCTCCATTTGGGGCAAGGAGAAACTTCACAATAATCACCAAAATATCACAGGGGTTTTTTAAAAAAAGAAAGGAAAGGAAACAACTTGAGAGGTGTTTTCGACCAGCATATTCACTGCAGACAGAGGCCCAGCTGAGGGCCAGCAACAAGGACTAGGCTAGTTGGGCACTTGCGAAGGACATAGGGCCGGTCCAACCATGAGACACCATGAAGCAGTTTGCCTTGGGCAGCTGGCTGGGGACAGCTGGGAGGGGCAGCAGATCTGGGCCCCAAGGAGCACAGTGCCCACAGCCCCCCCTCATCATCTGCTCCTCTCCAGCCTCCTTTTTGACCCCCACCACCTTCAGCACCCCCCAGTGCTTCCCTGCACCCCCCCTGAGTCACCTCATGCAGTGGAGGAGGAGAAAGAGGTGGAGCCCCATTTTCTGTTTTGCCCCAAGTGGCAAAACACTCTGGGCTGACTGACAAGACTTGTTCAGGCTTGATGGCTCACTTGTCCCCTAGTCAATGGTGTAAGGGGGAGTGAATGCCATGGCCTGCCAGCTCCCTGGCTCTCCAAGCAGCAAACAGCCAGGCCCTAACCAGGGTGAGGAAGAGAAGCAGCAGCCACAATAACAGCTGTGAGAAAGCAGCCCCATGGACAGAGAGGGTAGTGGGCCCAGGGAGGATGTCTAACCCCAGCCCTTCCTAAAACATGACCCAGTTAACACTTTCTACCTCTCGTCACTCCAAAAGAGAGGCGTCCCTGAGGAAGACGACCACGTGCTGGAGTGGTCCACTAGACCACTAGACTGTTGGACTAGTACCTGGGAGACCAGGGTTCAAGTTCCCACCCAGCCACGAAGCTCACTGAGCGGCCTGAGGCCAGGAACTGCCTCTCAGCCTAACGTACCACACAGGGTCTTTTTTAAAGTGGATAAAAGAAAAGGTGGAAGGTTTTAGTAAATAATATATAAAATGAAAACCACAGCCGGTCATGAGAATGGGCTTTGGAGGAATTGTATTATAGCCATTCCCAATACCATCTTTAAATCCTGAGATATGCTTTCCAACCCTGGAATTCAGAACAGAGGCCATTTGAGTCACAATCAACAGCCCAACCTTTTTGCAGGCTGCAGTCCTCTGTCCTGATGGGAAGATCTGCCTGGCCTCACCCTTAGTCCTCACAAGATATTTTTGGTGGGCCGTTCATGATACGCAGCGGGAGGGAAGATGAAAGCTAAGGATACAGAGGAACTAGTAAGATTCTTTCCCCCTACAAAATGATTTCCCACAAGCTGTGTCAACTATCTCTAATCAAACAAATGCTCCAGAAGGTCAACAATTTTCTCTTTGGCAGGGGGCAGGAAGCAAAGCCAGTCACCTGCGGCTTTGCAGTCTTGGGAATCTCAGCAATGAGCCAAAAGAGATGGGCTTGGCATCTAAATGTTCATCACACAAGAATGTCCCCCAAAGAAGAAAACACCCACACCCCCTTTTTATATGCAGCAGTCTGGGTGGATGAGTTGATCTACCAAGAAATCTAAAAATTGAACAAAGACAGTTCCACAAAGTTACAACTCTCCGAGTATTCTCACCCCCCTCTTACACCAGAGCTCAGCGTTGACCACTGCTTTTAGGTCCTGCTCATGGTTTTAAGAGCCCCAAGCTGATCATAGAGCAGGGCTGAGTGCCACCTCTCCTTTTGAACCATGACCACCACCTTTCTTGCATATGTCCATTCCTCTTCGTCCATTCCTCCTTCCAGGGTGGCAAACACATCTGTGATGAAAACACAGTTGAAATAAAAACATATTTCAAACATTTAACTGTTAAAAGCATCTAAAAACAATAAAACACGTGTAACCAGTAATGTGTCTGAATACAGAACTGACTGAAACAGAAACATGTTCAGCAGACGTCTAAAGGAGTGTAGTGATGGCCCCTGCCTAACGTCAATAGGCAGGGAGTTCCAAAGTATAAGCGCTGCCGCACTCCTTACAAATGCAGGTGGGACGTTCCGCAGTTCCAAATGACAGAGCGGGCATGTGGGGGCAAGGTGGTCCCTTAAGTAAACTGGCCCCAAGCTGTTAAGGTAACATCTTGAAGTAACATCTTGAGCTCAACCCAGTGAACTGGCAGCCAGTGCAGTTCTTGGAGCACTGGTGTAATAATTGACAAATTGCATTACTATGAGCAGAGCTGTTGCTGTGGCGGGGCTAGCTGGGTGTTTTGTCCCAGGTGAAGCCTCCAGAGGGGCACTGTTGAGGCTCTCAGTTTCTCTCTGTGTGCATGTGGGGGTGCCAAACTGGGTCTTTGACCCAGGTGAAATAAAACCTAGTTTCACCCTTGCTATAAGCAATCATGCTGTAGCATTCTGACCAAATACAGTTTCCAGATGAAGCACAAGGGAAGCCCCATGTAGACTGCATTGCAGTAGTCCAGCCTTGAACTTACCAGTGCCTGGACCACTGTGATCAAGCTCTGCAGGTCCAGGGATGGTTGCAGTTGTCTTACCAGCTGAAGCCTCTAAAAGGCACTCCTTGCCACTGAGACCACTTGGACCTCAGTGACCAAGCTAGATCCAGGAGCATCCCAAGGCAGCACACATGCTCCTTCAGAGGGAGGGCAGCCCCATCCAGAGCAGGTAATTGACTTCTTGATTTCTCCAACACGAGAACCCCGCGCCCACAGAGCCTTGCCAGGATTCAAGCTCAGATTATTTTGCCTCATCCAGCCCACAAGTGCCTCCAGACATGGGTTCCTGGCCCTACGAAACAAGCAAGGAACCAACCTTTCTTCATGCAGAGCTTTGAGAAAACATCTCTCCATAGGCACAAGCTGGGAGCTATTGGAGCAATGCTGACACATAACCAGTGAGTGAGAGATCAAAAACAATCTTGACAGTTTTACATTATTGTACTACATTTGTCTGGCTTCTCCTTTTAAAATGCTTGTATTTAGGGCATGCTGATCCCGATCCTGGAATTGCTGAACTTGTTGACTTCTGCAGCACTAGTCTCATGCCATACAAATGAGCAATTAACAGCACCAAACCAAGGCCAATTTAGACAATCAGCAGCTCTTCCGGGATCACTTATCGCAAATCAGTTACCCCTCTTAAAATGCTTTACTCTCAATTGCAAGTAAGGGAGGCAGATAGGAACACAGGAAGGTACCCGAGGAGTCAGCATTGCTTGCACTGACTGGTAGAGGCTATTAAGGGTTTCAGACTGGGGACGTTCCCAGTCTTACCTCCTGCCCTCCAACCTTTCTCCGATGGAAACAGAGATGACCTAAGGAGAAGCGGGACATTCCAGGATCATATCAGAAACCAAGACGGCTTCTTTAAATCCGGGACTGTCCCTGGGAAATAGAGATGATGGGAAGAACTATGTCAACTATTTATTTATTAGTCTAGGGAGAGTTATCTTTGTGACATTCTCCTTCCATTGTCAAAAAGAATGCTGAAAATATAGACGGTAGAGTCATGGGGTTGACAAATGGTTTGGGGTCAGACTCTCCAACAATATAACTCAAATTGTGGCATGCTGATTTACACCAGCAAGACTCCTTCCCGGAACTGCTTTTGCATTTGTTGAGGAACGCTGGTGCCTGAGTTTGCATATGCTCACTTATTCACCAAAAAGCCGGAGAGCGTGGCAAGGATAATTTCTAATTTATATTTTGCAGTATTTCCAATATAGCCCTTTCAACATTTGAATTTTTGGGAGCTGGCCCCACTCCCTGCATATAAATGATGCAGAGGATTTGACATCAAACATTTGGAAGGGAATTTGGGGAGGGGGAGTGCTGCAAAGATACCAAAGGGAAATCTGGTGGTTTACTTAGCTTTAATCAGTTTAATATAATTTCATGAATTTTACACCTAAAGGCCTCTGATTGCTGTACCAGTTACCTGTGAATAAAAGCTTGCTAGTGGCAAGTGATAATTAATTCTAAAATCAGGAAAGGCTTTGAGCTTCAGAGACCCTTGAGCACATTTGTATGAAGATTATACATTGTTTCTTCCCTCCCCTTTCCCTTTGAAGTCTATTCTTCAAAGATTTCCAGTCTGCTGCTCAGACTACAACCCCACCACTCTTGGCCTAGACTGCTGAGCTGCAGACTCAGGCAAGCGCCACTCAACTCCCCCAGTCTCCTCCTTGTAAGGCCGGCACAGGGGGAGACAGGGGCACCAGGCCCTGTCAGTTGCTGGTTGGCTATTTCAGCAGGGCAGAAACAGATCTTCGCCTTGCAATTAGACTCTTACGTCCCCCCCCGTCCCCCCCCCCCGTCCCCACATTTCCCTACACATTTGTTGGTTTCTAAAAAGGAATGTGCTGGGGCTCAAATCTGCTTGGCAGCCACTCCCAACTAACTCCACTCCTCCCATTATTGTGGATAGGATTTGAAGGAAATGCACTCTGCACGTGTTCAGGTACCCCTCTGCTATTTCACATGTCCTCTGACACTGAAATCAGGTTGCACAGCTGGCTTTGGCCCAAATGAAAATCTGCCCTTGTCGTCCCTTTGCTCCTGCTGAAATATTTTATGACTCATAGGGACCCTGTCCCACTCTGAGAGGAGTGCAAGTTTTTCCACAGCGTTTATCAGTCGTTGAACTTATACTCAACACTGGACTCTCACTGTAACCAGCACATATGTTAGGCTGCTGTTTCCTGGGAACCAAACGTGAGAATGTAAGAAGAGCAGCCCTGGATCAGGCCAAAGGCCCATCAAGTCTAGCATGCAGCATCCATCCTGCTCTCACACTCTGTGTGTGTGTGTGTGTGTGTGTGTGTGTGTGTGTGTGTATAGAGAGAGCGCGCAATATATTTAAATTCAGGTAGGTAGCCGTGTATCTGAAGAAGTGTGCACACACACAAAAGCTTATACCCAGAACAAACTTAGTTGGTCTCTAAGGTGCTACTGGACAATTTTTTTTTAATTTTTTAAAAAATATATTTAAAGTTGGTGTTATATTTCCCAATTAAATCTATTTATACTTTTCCTCATCTATTTCATATAAGTTTTAGCAACTCCACATTTTTACAGTAATCCTGCTAATGTCTTAATTTGTTTACAATTTGTAAATATTCAATAAAAGATTTCCATTCTCTATTAAAGAGTTTGTCTTGGTTTCTTATTCTTCTAGTAGGTTTTGCCATTTCTGCCTTGTCCATTAATTTCTGTAGCTGTTCTTGTCTTGTCAGGACTGGTTCTTTTTTCCATCTTTGGGCAAATACTGTTCTCACAGCCGTGGTTGCATACATAAATAAATTTCTATATTGTTTAGGTACTTCTGATCCCATAATTCCAAGAGAAAAGCTTCTGTTTTGTTTTTTTACAAATGTTATCTTAGACATCATTTTCAATTCATTATATATCATTTCCCAGTAGGCTTTAACTTTACTGCAAGCCTACCACATATGGAAAAAGGTACCTTCTTTCTCTTTGCATTTCCAACACTTATTCGATTTCAGTTTATATATTCCTGCCAATCTGGTAGGTGTTAGATACCATTTATATAGCATTTTCATATAATTTTATTTTAAACCATAGCATGCTGTAAATTTTATATCTGTATTCCACAATCATTCCCATGCATCCATTTCTATATTGTGACCAATAACGACTGCCCAATGTATCACTGATGATTTCACTTGTTCGTCTTTTGTCTCCCATTCTAAAAGCAACTTGTACATTTTAGACATCATTTTAACATTATAGTCTAATAGGTCTCTCTCTAATTGAGATACTTGTCCTGCAAACCCCCATTTCTTATCCTTTATAAATACTTTGTTTAAATGATGATATTGCATCCATGTTGTTAACACTCCTGATAGGTCCTTAAACTCTTTTAATTTAAATTCTCCACCTTCCTCCTTTAATAAGTTTCCATAAGTTACCCAGTTTTCCACCATCGTGTTCTTCTTCTTCACCTCTATAGCTTCTACTGGTGAAAGCCAAAGTGGTGTTTTTCTTTCCAATAGATTTTTATATTTATCCCATACGCTATACAAATTTTTCCTAATTATATGGCTTGTAAATCCTTTATGTACTTTCAACTTTTCATACCACAAATACGCATACCAGCCAAATATATTATCATTGCCTACAACGTCTAAGATATGTGGATTCTTCAATGACAACTATTCCTTCAAGCAGCACAGACAGGAAGCTTCATAATATAATCTCATATCTGGCAGGGAAAAACCTCCTCTCTCCTTAGCATCTACAGTGGTACCTCGGTTCTCAAACTTAATCCATTCTGGGAGTCCATTTGACTCCTGAAACGGTTCAAAAAACCCAAGGCGTGGATTCCGATTGGCTGCAGGAGCTTACTGCACTCAACTGGAAGCCAAGGAAGCCACGTCGGACATTCGGCTTCTGAAAAACGTTGGCAAACTAGAAGACTCACTTCCAGGTTTGTGGCGTTAGGGAGCCAATTTGTTCAGAAGCCAAGCCGTTCAAGTACCAAGGTATCACTGTATCAGTATTTTATATTTTATTCTCAGTTTTTCCCCTTGCTAGATATATTTAGAAATATGTTTTGCCATTTCTGGAAGCAATCTGTCTTACCAATCACTGGTATTGATTGAAATATTAATAACATCCTTGTTAATACATTCATTTTAATGGTCGAAAAGAAGGGGGGAAAGAGTAAATTTAAGGAACTGCAGAAAGAGGGGGAGGGGAGTTGAGGTTTAACATGTAATGATGACCTTTTTTACTGTTTGAAATGTCATTTTGTTATAAATGAAAATTAAAAATACAAATTTTAAAAAAGTTGGTGTTATACTGAACATAGTTCAAATGAATATATGTGTTTTTCTGTTTTCCTATATGTACGTGGGGAAGAGGCACCACTTACATTTGGCTAAACGAACCACATATTTTCAGTATGATTTAGATGCTTTCTCCTCTGTGGTTTCACTGAATTTGTATTCAACACTGAACCTTACCAACTGCGCACTGGTCTTACTTGAGAACCAAGTCTTGTATCTTTTCAAGAAAAGTCCAAATATGGAAATGAAGAATCTACCGGGGGTGGGGGTGCTTCACACAAAGCTAACTTATATCTGAAAAGACATTTTCTCAGTTGCAAAGAATTTTATATTGTAAAGTTAGATGTATAAAATATGTGCAGGGACTCCTATTGTCAGGAATAGAGTGACATTTTGTAAAACCAACAGGGTGTCTGCAGCCAAGACCTGCAGCAAGCTAAATCCTTTAGTTGCTCAGATCAAAGAAAAAAGCCTGCCTTGGAAGTTCTCACCTGAGTCACCTGAGTCAGTGTTTCTTACATGATTTCTCTGGTCTGACTGGGGCTTGGCTGGCTCCTACAGCTTTGATTTTGGCCTAGTTCACATAAATGTCAATGAGATTTTAAAAAGAAACTGCAGGCGGGAGAATTTGTTTGTTTCTAGAATAAACCCTTGTCCATTTAAGCTAGCATATCAGCAAAGAGGTTACAAGGCAATTGTTCTCCCTGATATCTAGGAGGTACCCCCACCTCTTTGATGAAGCATTCAGTCGTGCCATTCTTGCACCTGCCACCTAAATGGCTTGGTCCAGCTCACCTTGATGTAGAAATTTTGATAAGTTATTAAATATTAGATCTCTGCAGATGGGATTTGCATTCCCTCAAATATTGCTCAGTTGCACAGAGCCAGCAACAGGGCCAGCCCCACCCATGAGACAAGAGGAGGCGACTGCCTCAGGTGGCAGCATCCGCAGGGGCAGCTGGTCCTGATGCCAATCTTTCTTCCTGATCTTCCCTCACCCATTCTTCCCTGGCACCATTTTGGGGTTGGCCCCAGAATGTCTTCGGCTGCAAACAACAACCTACTTGACCAGCTTAGAGATGCAGAGGGAAGTTAAGAATAAAACAGCTCAACCAAACCGTCAAGCCCAGTGGAAGGAGACAAGCCCAGCCAGGGGAAAGAGCGGGAGGAGCCTGTGGTCAGAGAAGGGGCAAGGGATGCACTAAGCAGAGCCAGATGCCATATAACCAACCTTGAAATTCCAAAACAGCAAAGGGCTTTCCCTCTCGCCCACTGCCAGGCTCTTCCTTCAGCCATCCAGGAAGGCTGCTTTAGGAAGACACCATACGAAGAGAGGAAATGCCCCTGTGGCTCTGAGCAACTGGAAACAATGGAACATGTCTTTTTTCACTGCCAATACTATACAGATATACAAGCTAGGATCATCTTGCCTATACTACATAAATTTCCAGGTCATACAGTACAACTTTATACTTCCCTTCTACTTCAAGATGAAAATCCAGATGTTACATACTCAGTTGCTATACTTTGCACTGCCAGGATGGATACTGGTCAAAGGATGGTTTGCACCACAAACTAGGCCCAAAATGCAAGAATTGTGCTCCTCTGCACTCCCTCCCTCATAGTCGCTTTTAACAGTTTGTCCCTGTTTTTATCTTTTAAAGTTATGTATGTACAGTGGTACCTCGGTTTTCGAACATCTTGGGAGTCGAACGTATTGGTTTTCGAATGCCGAAAATCCGGAAGCAACTGCTTTGGTTTTCGAACGCGGCTTCCGTATTGAGTTTTCCATAAGTAAATGCTTCCAGAAGTAAATGCTTTGGTTTTCAAACGTTTCGGAAATTGAACAGTCTTCCGGAATGGATTACGTTCAAAAACCGAGGTACCACTGTATGTATGATATAATCACCTTTTAACTACTAGTTTTTCCCTTTTGTTTTAAGTCTGATGTGTTCAGTTTATCCGTATGTTTTATCTTATGATGGTCTGTGACCAAAATATCTAAATACAATGTCTGGGGTTCATATCCCCCCCCCATAACCCCCATTCAGATAGTAAATGTAACTGCATGTGGTTTCAATCAGGACAACCAGATCCACTGGGAGGTATTACGTAAATTGCTAGGGTCAGTATACCAACAAGCAAACTGTGCTTCAGAAGTCAATGAAGATCAGTCAAAGATGTGCACTTTGGGAGAAAAAACACTGGCAAATTTTCATTAGAACTTCTTTGGGGAAAAGAATCACAGATATGGAAATGTGGAGAACTGTTTTTAAATCTGGCAGAGCGAGGAACCAAAATGGTCATATTGGCCCATTCCTATGCAGAAATATCCCTGCTTTCACCTGAGACATGTTGGAGAGGGTATAATGGCTTTTCCTTGGTGATCAGCTGTAGAAAGCCACTGTTATTGGATAATTTTTCTCCAGGGCCAGGGTCAGAGCCAGAGCTACTGGGAGGTTTGTGCAGCTGAATGTTTCTAACAGCAGGAAAGCATGCCAAGAAAAAGACAAATGCCAATTGAGGGCACATTGCCCTTGATTAAGTGGAAATGGGCCCCTGCTGGCTGGAAAGCCACCTCCGACAAGAACAGCAAGAAAAGGAGCATCTGGCTGGCCATTAGAGAGCCCCGCCACCGCCTCCTCCCCTCCTCCAGAGCCCAGCTGATGTGTTTAAACACATTTCCATTCACTGCTCTATGGAGACCTGTTGAATGGGCTGTAAGGATGAATGAAGTGTAGACATTTCAATGAGATTAGGAAAATGCCTCCAGAGTGCTGGGAGAGTACAAAGAAAGAATAGAGCCTGGTGGAATGAATGGAGGAGGAAGAACCGTAGCAGCTTTTCATCTGAAAACTGGAGAAGAAGCAGCTTGAGATTTCCCTGCTCCCTTTCTCCTTATTCTGGGTTGGGGGAGGTGACTGATTTGCAATATGAAGATGAACTCCTCCACCAAACAATCTGGATTAGGGATACCGCTGAAACTTATCCCTCCAATCTTGGAAATACGAGCCTTGGGGACTTGCAATGCTCTCCTCATGTTCCAACTCCCAAATTTTAATCCAAGCCAGAGAAGAATTCCTCTTCTACCCCCTGCCTGCCACCAAACCCACAGTATTTTAAAATATATTTATTAAATGTATGAAATGTTGTGGGACCTCAACTCCCATCAGGACTTGTGAACAAGGTCAATGACCAAGGATAGTTCAGAAACAACTACAGAGCTACAGATTCACCACACCTGCTCTAGCTGATTAATTATGGTATTGAATCAACCCAAAATGTCACATTAACACACCACTTAATTAATGGAGCTGACAATAAACCAAGTTTTCAGGATTTTGATGCACTGACAGGTTGAGCCAAATGCCTCTTCTTTTCTCCCTCAAGTGTAAAAACTTAAGCTTTCCCTATCACAGCACACTGTGTCAGGGACAGGCTGGGTGAAGAAGAGTGGGGGGAGCCTGCCTTCCAAGAGCCTCCTAGGGAGGGAGCCTGGTGGTGGGACACTGAGGAGCAGCCAGCAGAAGGGATGAGCTGGGAGCTGATAGAAGCAGGAGACCTGAGGGATCAAGGGACATCAGGAGAAGGAGGGCCTTCCAGGACAGGGTTAGAAGCTGAGAGCCACCGTGGGCCCTCAGACAGTCCCCGTCCTGCTGGCTCTCCTCCGCCTCTCACTCTCCCCTCAAGAAGCAACGCACCAAAAAAAGCCCAGAGGAGGAGGCGGCCACCCTCTCAACGCAGCCTTCATCTGCTTAAGAGGGACCCAGAGTGAAAGTCTAGAGGGGAGTGGATGTACCTAGAGCTTAGTTTCAACAACGCCTGCCTCCGTTGAGTTTAAGATGAACCAGGGATGTTGCTGTGTTGTTTCATGCTCATAAAAAGCTAATTGCATTGCATGTCTTCTGTGTGTGTACCTGCCCACACATTCTGTGTGGATGACCTGGCTCGTTGACAGCTCCTTGACACTTACATAGAGTATATCTGAAAGTGCACACTGAGGTTATCTTTGTGAAGGAACTGTAATGTAATGTCTGAAGTTGTCACTAAAGATATATATTTTGATTTTACACAATAGGCTTTGACAGCACAGATTATGATATTGGGTCAAATGCCAGGAAAGAGAGAGATGTTGTTTGGGCTGAAATAGCATTAAAGCAATCATGCTTATTGGTGGAAGGATGGCTTTTATAGTTAAGGAGCTTCTTGGTGACCAAAGCAATACTTTTCAGCCAGCCTCGATTAATGCAGCTGTTCCCTCTTTCCCCTTATGGGTTGGACTTCACATCTTTGGCATAAATGAGAACTTCCCCTCTGATTTGTAACACTTGGTTTCATTCTAATTTAGTTTGAGCCCAGATCATTTATCTTAATTAGTTTAATTTGTTTAATCTGGTTAATTGGGTAAATTCATTTACTTTATTTAATTTGACTGCATGCGGAAGCCAGTAAAAGCAACAAAAATCAATGAAGGAAAAGGCAGGCATTGCAAATACCTGTGCATTTCTGTGGTGGTAAGCAACTTTGCAGAACAATCCAAAGGGAGAAGGTGACCCATAGTTTCATGAACATCTAGACATCAGCTTCACCATCAACCTGTGTGTAAAACAGAAAGTGTAAAAGAAGCGCCTGTTATTACAAAACTTCCACATTTTGAGATAAGTTATATACAACTGAGCGCCCCCCCCCCGATGATATTGTGAGTGGTTTTTGTTTCTAATGTCTTCTGTGTTTTCCCATGCAACCCCACCCAGACAGTAATATTTGAGGGGCAGGAATTCCAAAGAGGAGGTGCCACAATGCCCCATGGCCTCCTGATCAGATGGCACCTGTAGGAAGTTCTCACCTGCAGAGTGCAGGGATCAAGTGGGTATAGGAGGGGGGAGAGAATCTTTGCACGATGTCAGGGACTGGCAGGGAAGGGGGCTGGAGTCAGACTCGGGAGAGAGAGACCGTGGTTTGTGGGGACCTGTACCAGCCAGGAGGGAAAACTCAGAGGCAGAGGAAGCTTCAGAGCTAGAGGAAGAGGCAGGCCAGGCCAGTTTGAGACTGCTTTGGAAAGACCCAGGGGAGGCGTAGCCTTCATTGGGCCTGGGAAGGCGGGGTCTTCAGTCCTCACACCTGCCCCCTCAGGGCAAGGCCTGCAGAGAAGGGTTGCTGGAACCACTAGGCCAGAGTGCTTCTGTTTCACTTTGAATAAGAGTTAACTTTTCTGACTTCAGGAGATCTGTTGTTTAACTGCTGACCGATGCCTGACTTGAGCTCTGACACTTACAGTGTAATCACAAGCACACTGACTTAGAAGCCCCGTAGCCATCAGTGGGATTCCTTCTGAGAATACAAATACTGACTCAACACACAAGGCCACCTTTCAGATTTTCCAGGGAAATAGTCTTAATTACATCATAATGGCAAACTAAGTGTTAGTTTGTGCACCCTAGTTCCATTTATTTCACTGAGGCTACACAAGTGTCAAAGGTCATTAAAGCAACAACCAGGTTGTCCCTTCCATCTAAAATATCCCAAACAAACCATGGCTGCTGCCTCTCTGCTTATGAATGATTGGTTTTATCTGCATTCACAATGTGCCATTTGCTCTCTATCCAAACAGAGATAATAGATATATAGCAGAATAATGATCAGTGAGTGGTGACTATGTGATTATTCCATTCTCTCTGCCAGCCTTCATCCATCTCTGGCTACAAAGAAGCAGCATTTGTGTTGAGCCTTGCATATAAATGTGCAACCTATCATACATGCAATATATGTTTTCCATGTTTCAATCCAGAATAATATTTGAGATGAGGGAGGGGATGAATCCCACCTGATAATACTTGTAGCTGAGTGCCCGTTTTAGAAAAAAAGTGGGTGAGAAAAGAAGGTCTGGGTGTAGGATGTAGAAAATGAAGGTTTAAAACTGAGAGGAGTGTGTGAAGCCCCTCTCAGCGCACTGTCTTGCAGAATGCTCTAGAAAAAGCTCCACAGGCAAACCAAGTGTCTGCAAACCCACTTTCAGCTGAGCCACGTGGGCATGACTTGGTCAAAATGGCCTCATGCACCAAACAGGGAGACTAGGCTTGTGGGCCAGAGGCTCCCCACCCCTGGTTTAAACTCAGGCAGCATTATGATGCATACTCAGTGGCAACGAGCAGGTTCTTATCTCTAAACATGGTCTACCTCAAAGGATTGTTGCGCTTCAAAAGCACTGCCCTGAACTCTTTGTAGGAAATTCAAATCTCTGGGGCCTGATGAGCTGAACCCAATGGTACTAAAGTAGTTTGCGGGTATAATCTCAGAGCCTCTGTCAAGAGCTTCCAAGAATTCTTGGAGAACAGGTGGGGTCCACGTGGACGGGAGGCAGACAAATGTTGTCCCCATCTTCAAAAAGGGGGGACACTCAGGTAACTACCAGCTGGTCAGCTTAATGTTGATACCAGGAATGGTCCTAAAACAGTTGGTCTGTGAGCACTTAGAAAAGGACCTGGCATGGGTTTCTCAAAAAGTTATGATGGATGAATCATATTTCTTTCTTTGATAGAATTACAAGTTTGGTGGATCAGGGGAATGCTGTGGACATTGTGAATATTGATTTCAGTAAGGCTTTTGGCAAGGTCCTCCATGATATTCTCGTGAGGAAGCTGGTAAAATGTGGGTTGAACGAGGTAACTGTTAGGTGGATTTGTAGCTGGTTGGCTGACTGAACTCAAAGAGTATTCATTACTGGTTCCTCGTCATCCTGGAAAAAATGACAAGTGGGGTGCCACAGGGTTCTGTCCTGGGTCTGTTGTTGTTCAACATCTTTATGAATGACTTGCATGAAGGAATTGGAAGGATGCTCATCAAATTTGCAGATGATACCAAACTGGGAGGGGTAGCTAATGCCACAGAAGATAGATTCAGAATCCAAAATGACCTTAACAGATTGGAGAACTGGGCACAAGCTAACAAAATCAATTTCAGTAGGGACAAGTGTAAGGTTCTGCATTTAGACAGGAAGAATCAGATGGGGGACACCTGACTTGCCAGTAGTACATGTGAAAAGGATCTCCAGGTTTTAGCAGACCACAAGCTTAAATGAGTCAACAGTGTGATGCAGCAGCAAAAAATGCTAATGCTATTCCGGGCTGCTTCAATAGAAATCTGGTGTCTAGATCAAGGGAAGTCATAGTACCACTCTATTCTGCCTTGGTCAGACCACACTTGGAATACTGTGTCCACTTATGGACACCACCATTTTAGAAGGATGTTGACAAGCTGGAAGATGTGCCGAGGAGGGTAACCAAGATAATAATAATAATAATAATAATAATAATAATAATAATAATTTATTATTTGTACCCCGCCCATCTGGCTGGGTTTCCCCAGCCACTCTGGGCGGCTTCCATAGAAACCAAAAATACACTAAAATATCACAGATTAAAAACTTCCCTGAACAGGGCTGCCTTAAGATGTCTTCTAAATGTCAGGTAGTTATTTATCGCTTTGACATCTGATAGGAGGGCGTTCCACAGGGCGGGCACCACTACCGAGAAGGCCCTCTGCCTGGTTCCCTGTAGCTTTGCTTCTCGCAATGAGGGAACCGCCAGAAGGCCCTCGGCGCTGGACCTCAGCGTCCGGGCAGAACGATGGGGGTGGAGACGCTCCTTCAGGTATACTGGGCCGAGGCCGTTTAGGGCTTTAAAGGTCAACACCAGCACTTTGAATTGTGCTCGGAAACATACTGGGAGCCAATGTAGGTCTTTCAAGACCGGTGTTATGTGGTCTCGGCAGCCACCCCCAGTCACCAATCTAGCTGCTGCATTCTGGATTAGTTGTAGTTTCCGAGTCACCTTCAAAGGTAGCCCCACGTAGAGCGCATTGCAGTAGTCCAAGCGGGAGATAACTAGAGCATGCACCACTCTGGCGAGACAGTCCGCGGGCAGGTAGGGTCTCAGCCTGCGTACCAGGTGGAGTTGGTAGACAGCTGCCCTGGATACAGAATTGACCTGCGCCTCCATGGACAGCTGTGAGTCCAAAATGACTCCCAGGCTGCGCACCTGGTCCTTCAGGGGCACAGTTACCCTATTCAGGACCAGGGAGTCCTCCACACCATCCCACCCCCTGTCCCCCAAAAACAATACTTCTGTCTTGTCAGGATTCAACTTCAATCCATTAGCCGCCATCCATCCTCCAACCGCCTCCAGGCACTCACACAGGACCTTCACCGCCTTCACTGGTTCTGATTTGAAAGAGAGGTAGATGATAAAATGTCTGGAAACCAAGCTTTATGAGGAGCTATTGAAGGAGCTGGTTATGTTTATCCTGGAAAAGAGGAGACTGAGAGTAGATATGATAGCCATCTTCATGTATCTTGAGGGCTGTCACATGGAGGAGGTTGCATGCATGTTTCATCCTCCTCTGGAGGGTAGGGCTCGAACCAACGGCTTCAAGTTGCTAGAAAGGAGATTCCAACTAAACATTCAGAAAAAACTTTCTGACAGTAAGAGCTGTTCAGCAGTGGAACAGACTCTCTCAGAATGTGGTAGAATTTCCTTCTTTACAGGTTTTTAAGCAGATGTTGGATGGTCAAATTGCTATCTCTAAGTCTTATCTACCTCACAGGATTGCTGTAGTTCAAAAGCACTGCCTTAAACCCCTTGAAGCTCTGATATAAATATCCAAAAACCTCAGTACAATCAAGAATTAATCACCCATTTTTGTCATATCAAAATCTTGTAGAATTGATTTTACAGTAGCATCAAACCATAAAATTATTTCATAAACAAAATTGTCATAGCTTGTATATCTCTCACACACACTGGGGAATGTTCCCTCACACACTTTCACACAGGAAAAACAAGTAACTTGCTTCAAAATAGTGCAAAATCACAATGTGGATTCTTGTTTCATGAAACCTTTGCTTTTCACAAAAATGGACACACACACACTCTGTAGTGATTGGGAAGAAGGTGAAACAGGAGATAAAATGTTCACCATGCAGAATCCACATTCCTTTCCCATCTGCAAATTGCCTCCTTTGAAATGGTTTAGAAATGTACCCAAAGCCAGTTATCAGTAACTGAGACAACAACACAAAGAACAGCCAATATATCTCCACGCCCAGCCCTACTGCTGCGTAAGAAAGTGCTTGCCAGGAGAAATAGATGGATTGTGCTGTACATCTGTAGTGCAAAAGGCAATGTTTGTTTTTTGATGGGTGGCTCACCTTTCTGCAGGAACTTTGATTCTGCCCAAAGATTTTTTTATCCTGAAAATCAACCACTAAAAAAATCACGTCACTGTTCCAAAGTTTTTCATTTTGTTAATATAACCCAACTCTGACTTCTGTAGAGTGAACATGCAATAACATGCAAGCGGAAACAACAGCCAGTTCTGTAAACTGGAAAAACTGGAGAAGAGCGAGAGCTCAATAGCAGAGCAAATATTTTGTGTGCAGAAGGTCCTGGGTTCCATCATTGCCATCTTCAGGGGAAATAATCCTTCTTGAAACTCTGGAGATTAGCCCTTTTGGGCCACCAACCTTGTGGGTCTGTTGGCACACTTGAAATTTTCCAAAGGTTTTGTGGGTGCTGGCACAAAATCATACCCTCCAAGTGTCCTGATTTTCCAGGGACAGTCCTGGAATTACAGAAGCCATCCCGGTTTCTGATTTGATCCCAGAATGTCCCAGTTTTCCTTTTTCCTCCCCTCCACATCTCAGAGAATACAGTGGTACCTCGGGTTAAGAACTTAATTCGTTCCGACTTCCTGTTTCCGGGGGTGGAAAATGGCTGATCCCACACAATCGGACTTCAGCCGTTCCGATAATTCAGGGCTGATATGGGGGTAATTAGCCCTGGCAGCCTCCCCAGGGCAAGGGAGGACTGTCTCAACGACCCGCGGTCTACTCCAGATTGCCAATGTGGCAGACGGTAGGGGCACTGGGTCATGGAGCTAGGGACGGCTGACACTCCTGCGACACCACCCCATAGCCGGACGCATCTGTTTGGGAAAATATAAAGATTTGGAAAACAATCAGACACGCTCTGAATTGAAGAAGCTGGAAAAAACCTGCAGTACGTACAGTCTCTGGCGCAAAAGATCGAACTTCAAAGAGATCCTCATCATGACGTTTGGAATGTGGAGGGGCTTGGTATGTAAAAAAAAAACATTATTTTATCCTTAACATCAACAATCCGTAATGCATGCCAAGTCTCATTAAGAACTTAAATTGCTCTTCAAAAAGTGAGTTCAGATGGACTTTCATTTATAATTGGGATCTACTCGCAGCCACTTCTCCTCTAAGACCGGAAATGTCTGTTAAAGACAAAAACAAAGGACAAAAGACAAAATGGCGTCTCCCACCACATCGTTATTGAATATCTGAAATACTTCCCTGATTA